GCAGGTCTGGAACAGTGGGAGGCAGAGTATTGACCGCCAGTGCTGGAACCTCTGGAGGCTTGGAAACCATGGAGGCCAGAGCAGGGGTTTGCTCTTTTGCAGTGGTCGTCGCCCGTGTAGGAATCCTGGGGACCCGCGGGATGGCGTCCCCAACCAACCTGGCCCCTTTAAGAGCCAGGCGCGTACCTACAAAGGGGCGAGCTGCCAGCACTGGCAGCGAAGGAGCAGGCAGGTGCACTGCACTCCTAGGCTGCATTGCCATGATGCCTTCCCCTGGGCAGGGCTCGGGCATCGCGGCGGCGGCAGCGGCTGCGACCTCCCCTGGGCAGGGCTCGGGCATCGCGGCGGCGGCAGCGGCTGCGACCTCCCCTGGGCAGGGCTCGGGCATCGCGGCAGCGGCGGCTTGTTCACTGGACCTTGGGTCAGGTACTTCAGGCGACCCTGCCAGGTCCACCAGATGCCAAAATACTCTCTCTATCCTACATACCTCCTCCTCCAGAGAGGCAGGAGAGAGCTGGAGAAGTTGGTTGCCAGCTTCTGTCAGGGCTTGGCACAACCATGGTGACTGGAGGACAGTTGGGGTCAGGGATAGCCATTTCCAGGCATCCTGAAGAGAGCAGAGCTCCTCCATACGAGCCCAGACGGCATCCAGAACTTCAGGGGGGGCAGGTGTCCCAGAGCCTGGGGATCGTCCTTGGGAGTGGTTCATTCTGTTAGGGGTACAGGCAGCTCGGGCATGCAAAAGAGGCATGGTGCAGGCACAGAAAGGATGAACGACCCACTTCTGGCTCAAAGAACAAAAAACATGGTTTATTTAACTGAACTAAAAAAACACAAGGAACACAAGGCACAACCAAAGGACCACAAGGGGTCAAAAACTAAAAGGGGATTAACAAACACTAAATAACAAAACCTAAATACACATCTAATACTGGAAATCTCTGACATAACCATCAAACGCAATCAATACCAACCAACAACAACACACACAATGAACCACTGGGGAACTGAACAGAAGCAGGAACTAAAATACTAAGGGGTAGCGAGACTAACACAGGACAGGTGAGGCTAATTAAGAAAGACCAGGGAAACGGGGTACAAGTGAAACTAATACTCAAAGGAACTAAACAGGAAAACTAAGAACTACCCAAGGAATCAGAACACTGGGGAATTACAGACAGGTAAAGACAAGCAGGGGCACAAGGAACAAAACCAAAAACCATATACAAAATCACCAAATACAATAACTAGACAAACTCAACTGAAACACTAGGGAGCAAAATACAAAAACAGGAGGTGGGATTCAAACACAGGACAGAAGGTACAAAGACAACTGGACACTCAAGGTGTTGAGCCATGAGGCCAACAGAACAGGGGAAACTCAAAGACAAACATGAAGGACGGGATGACCAGCAATGCCTGCTAACCAAACGGGGAAGGGACACAGAGTAACAACAGGGGCTGACCCTGACACCAAAATGCCTTGATATGCTCAAGCAGTAAGAGTTCCCTTCACTGGAATTAAGGAGCCTGGCCCAACTCCTGAAAAACAACCCCATACCATTATCCCTCCTCCACCAAACTTTACAGTTGGCACAATGCAGTCAGGCAGGTAAAGTTCTCCTGGCATCCGTCAAACCCAGACTCGGCCATCAGACTGCCAGTCAGAGAAGTGTGATTTGTCACGCCACAAAACACTGCTCCAGAGTCCAGTGCCGACGTGCTTTACACCACTCCATCCAACATTTGGCACTGCACTTTGTGGTGTGGGACTCCCATGCAGCTGCTCGGCAATGGAAGCCCATTCCACGAAGCTCCCATCACGCGGTTTTTGTGCTGGGGTTCAAGCCAGAGGAAGTTTGGATCTCTGCAGTTATTGAGTCAACAGAGTGTTGGCAACTTGTACACACTATGCGCCTCAGCACTCGGTGACCCCGCTCTGTTACTTTACTTTGTGTCACTTTGTGGCTGAGTTTCTGTTGTTCTTAAATGCTTCCACTTTGCAGTAATACCACTTGCAGTTGACCATGGAATATCTAGCAGGGCAGAAATTCCGCAAACTGACTTACTGCAAAGGTGGCATCTTCTTCACTGAGCTCTTCAGAACAACCCATTGTTTCATAAATGTTTGTCTCAATACTTTTGTTCATATAGTACATGCACGCACAAATGCATGCACAGATCTGTATGTGTGTTTGTGTGTATGCCATCAAACACTAAAATGACCTCAAACTATTTCAAGCATTGGATCACAAATGACTTGTTCTTTCTTTGTAATTTGGTCTTGTGTGATAAATAGGAATGGTGTGTCCTGTAATAGCCCTGTACTAAAACATTAATAGCTTTATCAACTGATATTTTAAGTTGAATTCTTTTCTTTAGTGGACCTCCATGATGCCGTTTTCCTATTGCCACAGTATCAGCTGCCGCCTCTGAAGAGCCTGTGGCCTGCTAGATATGCCTTTGTTTCTGTATCTCCTTGGAGCAGGAGGGGATCCCTTTTCAGCCTCTGAGCGAGTGCCCTACCAAACTGTACTTCCTCCCCCGCCCATGCGCCAGCATCACGGCCGGCCAGCCGGATGGAGGAAGGGCCCACTCGCCTGCCGGCACACCTGCGTGAGTACACACACACACGCACAAACACCCGCACAAACACCCGCTCATGTGTATGCAGACTTGCTTGATGACCCGTCCAAACAGTGTTCCTGGACGTCAGCCTTGCTGTGTGCTCTTGATTTAATCTCTGTTGCTCCTATACTAGAAGTACATCAATGTGTCTTTGTAATTCTGCACAGCTGCTGGGAGGGGATACCTACACCTGGAATGTACTGAAATGTGAAACTCAATGAGAGATCACAATACCAGTGGTTCTGTGGGGGTTAATCATATTGCATTGATTAGATCATTATCACAATGTAATGTAGGTTAATCACAATGAATTGACCAGATACTTTTTACCAGTAATATTAAGTGAAAAATACAATGTTTCAAGCTATAAATAATTTAGTCTCCCTCCCATTTTACCTGTGACTAGTCCATGAGTTTGAAGACCTCTGAGGAAGCTAAATACCCAGAGACTGTATCAGGAAATAACCATTCATTTGTGGCTACAATGCAAATATTCCTACCTGTGAATTTGCTATTGCACCTCAGTGCAGCAGAAATAAGAATACAAGTGTAAAAACAAATGAATTGCTTCAGCCTGCCGCGGTGATCATGAATGTTGCAGCTATGTTAGATTGCTGTTTCATGGCAGTAGATGCACTTACATGCATTATTTGAAAAGTACATTTTCTTTTGGATACCTCTTTACAGCTGTTAGGAGCTATTACTATAAATATACTGCACTTGGCATAACGTCATAAATCAGCTGTGATATATTCCACCGTTTCTGTTTTGCATGAATAAGTAGCCTCTTGGAAACCACTTTGATATATTTGCACTGTAAAAATAGATTTTTTTTTGCATTCACATTTTTAAATGCATTTTTATGTGTAAATGAGTGCTGCTTATATACCTAAAGCAAGTTACCAGGGTAGTTTTTATGAATAAAGTGCAAGAATTTGATTGTACTGTATACGCCTAAAAATAAGATGCTTAAACCTTGATTGGACATTGATGCAATAAATAAAAGTTTTAAAAATATATCGATTTTGAGCAATGGCCTTGAGAGTTTATATGAAAAAAATGGCAACTTTGCTTGGAAAAATTGCCCCATAAAAACGGTTTCATAGGTTCACCATCTCTGCTTCTCTTGCCTCACTTTTGTATATGTGACACTTTCATTCCCACTGCATGGGAAGAAAATGTTAGAGGTACTATGAACTGCCCCCCCCCCTCCAATCCACAAAGAACTGTAATCTAACAGCTGGCTGTTGCAACAGTACTTGCAGTGCAGCCCATTAAAGTGTGAGGAAGTTGCAGCTGTGCCTGTCACTGTTTTTTCTCAGTAATCTCATCTGCTGGGCTTGACCACAGATCTCGACTGGGGACTTTCTGTATCTGCCGCTGGTTCGGTGGGTTTACAGCCAATGCTCGTGCACTGGTGGCACTTTTCAGTACAGTGAGCTATCTGTTAGCCGGACTAGCATTTTAAAGAAAGCATTCTGCCATGACCTTCTGAAAGGCTGCAGTGAAGTGCCTGGCCATAATCTCTTAAGAACGTTACCAGTGTGGCAGATGTGAACAGGAGACCTCGGATAAATGCCACGAGTCACCCTTTCGATCCATAACACTGTGAAGGTTTCTCTGAGCTGGGGAGTGTGAAATGAGTAAGAGTACTTGCACAGTGAGGCATCTCCGTCAGCTTGAATATGTCTGTGTGTGTTTGGGTTTTTATGCTGCTCATGAAGAGTCAATTTGGGAAAATGCAGCCCTAGAAAAAGCACCACCGTGGTATTGTTAGGCGTCCTGAAAGCTGATGGGAGTTCCGACAGAGACCGAGATACAGTGTCTCTCTCTGTGTCTCTGAGGGAATTGTCCTGCATATTTCCTACACCTGGAAGCCACTGCTTTTCTTCAGCAATTTCCTGAGTGGCAGAAGGCCATTCCCGAAAAGTGGAGAATAAAAATCTGGAAGGGAGCCTGTTCTTGCGTCCCAATGGTGGAATAAAACACGGATTGTACAGTTCGGTATCTTCCTTGGGAAACTGTGGCCCCGTGCAGCAGCGCAAAGTGAGCTGACGCAAGCAGATCTTTATGCATGGGGCATGTGTTCAGCTGATGAAATGAAGGGTGGTGTTTTTACACGACTCTCTCTGTGGCTGCTACAGCTTGGGCTGGTGGCAGATAAACGCAGCACCGGTCACCTTAATTATGCAGTGGTCCTCACAGCATGAAACTGGGGACTAAGAGTTTGAGGTTGGCAGTATACAAAATGCAGACAGCACGTTAATTACATTTAATTATAATTAATTATATGTATTTTGTGTAATTTTTATCATTCTGTGTGGGCTCCTGTTATGTATGTAAAGGTCAGACCTTTTAGGGGAAATTGTATGCCAAATCACTGCAATTTGTGCTGCACGAACAGCTGGAATTAAAGATTTACTTTTTATTTCTGGCATAATTTTCTCAGAAATGAAACTAGCTTCAAAGATTTAGAACAACAATGCAAAGGTTTACGTGATTCACAAATTCACAAGATTCACAAATTCACAAGATTGTGTCCTGCCAAATTTTTGTAATTATTTACACAGAGGGTAAACATTTTTGGAGTCACAATTTCTTTTTGCGGAAAAAATCAAGGTCACTTGAATAGGGGAATAATTATACTGTAGTGTAATTATAGGACATATGTGTACAATGTGCGTGAGAATGACCAGAAATCAAAATGTCAGACAAAGATGGTTTGGTGTAATGTACTGTCAGGATTTCGGGCACATGAAGGTGTTTTTTTTTTTTTTTACTGGAGGTGAGGTTTGGGGGGGGGTTGTGATAATCTTCCTTTTTCCAATGAGTTTTTACATTGCTGTTATTTATAGCTTGCAACATTGTATTTTCCCCTTCATATTACTGGTAACGGTTAAATAATACCAGTGAAATTTTGATGATTAATAGCATCCCTAAATCAAAATGCTTATTATTACTTGCTGATTATGTCATTTCACACCACAGCAATTGTTGCAGATTAGAGAGATTGCTTTCGCTTCTGCTGTGTCGTAAATATGTTCTTGCCATGTTTGAAAATGTGACCTTCACCAAACTTTGCGGCTGCATTTTCATGATTCACGTTCCTCTGTGAGACGAGCCAGCTCAGGTTATGCCAAGCTGATGAAGGGTCAGTGATGGAGTGTTCATTTCACATTGCACTGTACTTGCAGTGTTTCAATTCGAATGCAGTGGGTCATCTTGAATACGGAAGTGCGGTTTCATCTCGAACTTGGGCGTGTATCGATGTGGCTAATTGATGTGGCCGTCGTGTGAAAACGCGGCGCATTGTAAATGTCCTTATGGCTGAACAAAAGTTTAGGGACAGCTCACAGTGAAGTGGAACAAACATCAGTAAATTACCTTTTTTTTAACTCTTTGACTACTTTTTTATTAAGTCTTTCATTTCCTGGGTTACTTTATATATATATCCCATTTGTGTTTTTATATAGATGTAAAAAATTGACCTCAGGTTCCCAATGAAATAAAAATAGGCTTATGGTGTGAACAGATGACAGTCCACCCCATATAATGCTCATTTAGGGAACAGATATGCCTTTCTGGGATATGTGTTTTCAGAATTATTCAAAAATACTTTCATTATTTATGTAAAATATTAACCGGAGTTTTAGAAATGCATGCACACAAAAGAGTTTGTAAGTAAGGGCCTGCAATGCCTTTGCAGTTTTGAAATTTCTGCATGCTTCCTGTCTGACTGGGCAGAGGAGATTAGGGTAATTCCCATGTTGATGTTACCAGGATCCAGTTCCCCCTTTCATTAGAAAGTGACGGTTTACAGATGGCTGAAAGAAATGGAGAACAAATAAACAAAGCAGAAAACTGCTTTTATAATCAAAGTGCCGAGGAGGATAATTTGACTGGTTCTTGTTTTTTTTTTTTTCGTTTGTTTTTTAATGGAACCAGTTTTGGTAGCTTTGCCTCATTGACTTCCTCAAAGAACACCTCCAGGCCGCAGTCTTACAAACGAGTCAGTTTTGTACCTTATAAAAAGTGCGTATATAATGTCTTGCTCAGCGCCACATGTAACAAGGGAGTTTTTATGGAGAGGATTTAATGGGAAGGCCAAACTTTCTGTAGTGTGAATAAGGGGAGAGGGCAAATCCAACAGTGAGGAAATACTGGTGACCCCCCCCCCCCCCCTCCAGGAGTGATATGCATGCTAGGTCTTACATCCTGCATCCTTCTTTATTTCAAAAGAGCCTTAATCTGTTTTGTGAAACCCCCCCCCCCCCCCCCCCGAAAAAAAAAACAAAAACTAAGATTTACTCCAAGGTTGCCTAAGAATGATGTCACCAGGAAGTGACCTTAGCAGAAGGGGTTGTGGAGGAGCCCCTCCCCCCACCCACACAAAAATAAAGAATTCTGCTCAAAATCTGAATTTTGGTTTATATCAGTGCTATTGTTAACTATGTTGTCAGTTAAGTGAGCTTAATCACACCTATACTGATGAATCACCAATCTCTGCTACTTTAAATATGTAGATACATCTTTTAATAGTGGGCAGCATTTTTGAAATGTTGACTTCCTACTTAAGGATTCATTCATAATATTAATACCTTGCATTCTGACATAAGCATTTATTAAGAATTAATATAAAAATTGAGAGACTTGCACAACAAACACAACACTTCAGAAATGAGTATCCTGTGGTTGCAATGCAGACATGTGAAGTATATAGATTTTCAGACGGTTGGCAGACAGGCAGCTTGTAAAATAAGATAGCTCTTCAGAAGGATACATGGCAGTGCTCCAGACCTTCTCTTATCGCTCCCCGGTCTTTCCTCCTCCCTCTGTCTGTCTCTCCCGCTCTGCTTTGCGCGCTGGTGATAAAAAGCACAGCTGCTGTGGGTCCTGACCACAGGAAGTTTCCTGTGCTGGAAGGAGAGAGCTGAGGGGGAACTTCCTGCCAAGAGGGGCGCTTTGTGGGAAGTTGTTTAGAGCTTCCT